CTTCAAGGCTCAGGGGTCCAGGATTATCTTCTGTGTCTGTGTTAATTGATTTCCCTTTTCTTTGTTGAAGAGGGTCTGTGCAGTCTTTCTGCCTAGTCCACCATCTTGCCGGATCTCCTAAATTTTGACTTTAATATGGACATTAATGATACATTAAGAAATCTATAATAATGTCATCATTTCAGTCACTATCTTTTCAGTAAGGCTGCAGTGGTGGTTCCGTGATTAAATTTTTGCCTTCCATGAGAGAGACCAGGGTTCAATTCCCAGTCTATGCACTTTAAGCTTAACCACCACCTATCTGTCAGTGGTAGATTACATACTACTATGATGATGAACAGTTTTCCATGGAGCATCCAGAATAAGACAGACTAGGAAGAAAGGCCTGGTGATCTATTTCTGAAAAAACAGACAATGAAAATTCTATGGATTACAATGGTCCAATTGGATCACGAGTCAGGGTCTAACTAGACTGCAGCTAACATCAATAACAACCTCATTTAACTACAGATCTATTCACTTGCCTTCCATCATTTCTCCAGAAGAAGCTTATCAAATTAAAAACTGTATACTGTACTTCTCAAACACTCCCCACAGCTATTTTCTGTGGTTAATAGTTACATTAATTCTACTGATTTATGATAGTACTTTGGCACCCATTTATAGGTGTGGGAACTAGGCACTAAGGAAACTTAAGCAATCTGCTTGAAGTCATACATCCCAGAGGTAACACAAATAGGATAAGAACTGAAAACTGTTAAACATCAACCTACACTCTTCAGACACATGAATTCTGGGACCAATGCAACAAGATCCCTAATGCACATCAGAAAATTAAAAGGCTGAGATGAAGTGCATCTGGAAAACAATGGAAGTGTGACCACAGATTTCAGGACAGAGAAAACTTAAAGCAATGGATTTGTAGAAACTTCCATAAGCAACTCATGCATTACAGAAAGGGCCACCAAAGAAACTTTCAAAGGAACAGTGATGATTCTGTAACTGGCAAGGAAACTTTCTGAAGTGGTTTTCTTAAGGATTTTTTAGCACAAAACCTGCCCTGTACTCCTCTCATAATCACTGCAGACAATGATTGGTGGAGATGAATTAATGATACTTAGGCTTCCAAATGCATGAACATGATAGTTCCATCTAACCTGTATAAACTGAATGATCTTGTCCTTCACCAAGTCCAGTTTGCCCTTCATCGAGTGAGATGTATCAATGAGGACATAGACGCAATCATGAAGCACTTTTCCAAAAAGCATTTGACTCGCATTTTGTAGCCATGTAATCCTAGGCAGGAAATAGATTCAAAGTAAATCGTTAGAGCCTGGGGACAACAAAATATCTTCTTAAGAACTTAAAGATAAATCTACACAGGCCAGAACCTTGCTTATACCCAAATATTCTGTGAATGAATTGACTTTATTCTGTGGAAAATCCTACCTTTGGGCTGGCTCTCCTATCACACCCTCCCCCCACCCACCCCATATTGCCAATCTAAGTAAAACAGAACTAGGAAAATCAATATGACAGAAAAAAATAAATCCAATATGAGGTTCCAAAGCCAAAAGTAAATTACTTCCAGTCATTTGATACTTTGAGGCCCTCAGCTATGACTTCAGACCATTTGTCATCTAATCCTGCTGACTGCAGTCAAGCTAGTAAAGTCAGTTCATTCCTGAAGCTTCAATGAAGCTTATGGATAGTATCAAGTGACCCCAGATCCCTGTATTAACCAAGCACCAGGGAGTTGTGTGAGCAGGACCGATCCACGGACTATGTCGAGGCTCCCATCAAAGGATATAAATCAAGTTCATGGCTGCAAAGTGGGGGTTAAGGAACAGAAAAATATCTGAAACAGAGTTCAGAGTTCAGCAAGGCCTCACAGCTAGAAACTGTAGGGCAAAATACTGAAGAGGAGTGAGCCACATAGAAGGAGAGTGAGAAGGTATACATGCAAGCTCTGAAGATCTGCAGAAGGATCTCATTGAGATTTTTGCTAAGTAATTAACAGAGCATGCTTGTCAAGAAATTACTGAAGCTAGGAAATGAATTACCAAAATGGAGTAGGTGCAACAACCCCTCAGAGCTTATACCAGGCTGGGAATAGTTCATCTTCCAAACAGCCAGAGTGAGAAAACCTCCTTAATACATTGAACATCAAGTAAAGTCCTCATAAGAGTACTTCTCTAGTTGTTGTTGCTATTGTAAGGTGCTGTCAAGTCACTTTGGACTCACAGCAACCCCATGTGACAGAGCAGGACTGCCCCATAGTGTTTTCTAGGCTGTAATCTTTACGGGAACAGATTGTCAGGTCTTTCTCCCATGGAGCAGCTAGATAGGTTAGGAATACCCATGCTTCACTGTTATATCACCAGGGCTCCTAGCAGTAGGACCAAACCTGCCCTGGACTAAAGGCTGCCCTGAATCTATACTAATAAAACTTAAAAGCAAATCCAGAGGCTCAAACTGAATCCAAGCAACTTAACTGCATCATACAACATAAAGAATCCAACAAAATCCAGCACCCAATAATGTAATATTCAAAATGTCTGGCATTCAAACAAAACTTACCAGGTGTGCAAAAAGCTGGAAATTACGATACATAACCAGAATAAAAATAACAGGAAAAAAATGACACACAGTATAGAATTAGTAGAAAAGGATATTAAATAGCTATTATAAATGTAATCCATATGTTCAAGAAGGTAAAGTATGAAGAGATAGAGGACAGAAATGCAAGATATACATTAAAAAGACCCAGATAGAACTTCCAGAGGTACCCAAAACCATATGTGAAATGAAAAATACATTGCACAGTTGTTGTTGTTGTTGTTGTTGTTATGTGCCGTTGAGTTGGCCCTGACTCATAGCGACCCCTCCTTGGGTTTCTGAGGCAGTATCACTACAGAAGTAGATTGCCCAACCTTCCTTCCGAGGAGTGGCTGGTAGGTTTGAACCTCCAGCCTTCTGGTTAGCAGTCAAGTGCCTTAGGCACTATGCTACCAGACCTCCCCATTGCACAGTATTAACAGTAAATCAGACAATCCAAAACAAAAGATCAGGGAAACTGAAGACAGACACAGCGATAGGAAACAATTCAAAGTGAAACAGAGAGAGAAAGAAAGACTAAAAAATTAACAAAGAATAAATACCTATGTGCCAATATCAAGGAGTCTAATACATGTTATTAGTGTTCAAGAAAGTGAGGAGAGGGGGAGATAGAAAAAATATTTGAAGAAATAATGGCTGAAATGTCTCCAACTTTCACGAAAATAATAAATCCACAGGTCCAAGAAGCTTGAAGAACGCAAGCAGAAGAAACAAAAGAAAATCAAACCAACACACATCATAACAAAACTGCTGAAATCCAGTGATTAAAAAGAAAATCTTACAAGTAACCAGAGAAGAGCCTGGTGAGACCCCCGAGACTATGGCCCTTACTTATGCTTCAGGTCTGGAATTGAACTCACTCACTTCTGTGGCTTCCAGCCAAACAACAGACAAGCATATAGGGTGAACATTTATATCAGATAGATATACTCCTTAGAAAGATCAATCATGGGAAAACAGAATGGCCATATTTTCACAGGGAAGTAGCTCGGGGGCAGGAATGCATAGGAAAGGACACAGGGAAGAGGGAACTATAGGGAGGAAGTGGGAAGAGAGCTGGTGCACTGTGGGAGATTGTAGTCAATGTCATGAAACAAAATGTCTATGAATTGCTGTATGGAAAAGGAATTTGCTCTGTAAACTTTCACCCAAATCACAATAATAATAACAAACAAACAAAAAAGTAGCCAGAGATAAAAATGCACATTATACATTGAAGAACAAACATAACAATGACAGGAAACTTCTCGTCAGAAACATGTAAGACAAAAGACAATTGGAGAAAAATTTTAATGTACTGAAAGAGAAAACTGTAAATCTAGAATTCTCTACTAGACAAAAAAAAAATTGCTAAAAATAAAAGCAAATTAAAGACTCTTTCACGCTAAAACCTCTGAGAGAATTCATCACCAACACTTATACTACCAGAAATATCAAAGGAAGTTCTTCAGGCAGGAAAAAAAAAGGATAGCAAGAGAAAAGTGAATCTATACAGAGAAATACAGGTAAATACCAACTATGTGGATGTAAACAAATATATTTTTCTCATTTTTAATCTATTCAAAAGACAATCGACAGTTTAAAGCAAAAATAATTACATACTGTGGGGTTTACAGCATATATAGAAGTACAATGGAGGAAGACAGAACAGACAAAAGAGGAGAAATGGGGGTAGTAAGATTCTTATAATGTATATGAAGTAATATAATATTTGAATGTAGATTGTGATGAGTTAAAGGCATAATTTTAAATGTTAAAGTAGTCTCTCTCATTCACACATACCACCCAAAACAAAAGAGACAGAGTTAATAAATCAATAACCAAAAAAGTCCACTGCCATTGAATTAATTCTGACTCATAGCAACTCCCACTGGGTTTCCAAGGCCAGAAATCTTTACGGAAGTAGATTGCCTCAGCTTCCCTCTGCAGAGTAGCTGGTGGGTTTGAACCACCAACCTTGTGGTTAGCAGTCAAATACCTTAGACACTGTGCCACCAGAGCAAAGAAACAAACCCACTGCCATCGGGTTGATTCTGATTCATAGCAACCCCCACTGGGTTGCCAAGGCAGTAAATCTTTACAGAAGTGATTGTCCAATCTTCCTTCCTCAGAGTGGCTGGTAGGTTTGAACTTCCAACCTTCTGGTTAGCAGTCAGATGCCATAGGTACTGTGCTACCAGAGCTGTGCCACCAGAGCTCTTTTAATAAATCAATACCCATTAAA